TCTGTCAGCCTGTCCTGCTGGCATGGCTTGCGTGATGCTGGAAGCTATGCCCCCAGTATTTCAAATACCAGCGGGGTCACCCATCATGGGCAGGTGTCTGTAGAGCTTCCAGACTAGGACAGACTGGGAAGAAAGGCCTGGCAGTCGAATTCCAAAACCAGCCAGTGGAAACCCCGTGGATCCCAGAACATAGTCCAGGATACCTACTTGCTTCTGTTGGCCGTGTCAACAGGAAGGACTGGTGTTTGGTAAAGTGGAGGGCCAGAAAAGATGAGAGAAGTCCTTAGAGACAAGAACTGACACAGTGGTTGAAACGTTGGGACCAAATGTACCGCCAGTCGTGAAGATGGTACGGAACCAGCACTGTTTCATTCTGCCATATGTGGGGTCACCGGGGGCCAGAGCCAACTCGGCACCAAGCAACCGATAACATGTAAGCTTTTGGCCGAGGCTCTGCTTTCTGGGGGACAATACTCACCCTCACACATTTACACACACACCAAAGTGGTCATTGTCTTGAGACTTTCTCACTCCTGGGATCTCCTCTCCTTCCACAGGACGGTCACCAGCACCTACTTCATGTCCATCACTGAAACTACCATTTATGGAGCTCTTGTGGGAAATCATTTCCGAAATCACTCCCCTTTTCCTCCCTGGCAGGAAGGGGTAAGCATGTGACTGAGTTGCAGCCAGTGGAATGGGAGTAAAGTGATGTAAAGTGTTTGGGCTCCCAGCCCGACCCACAAAACCCTATTTTGCAACCCCATCCTCCTTCCCCCCACCACCTGCTCAATGAAGAGGTTTCCAAGGACCTGGACCCAGAACTGTGTGTTGAGAGTGTGTCTGTGCATTTTGTGGTTGTCACCGGTTGCCATTACATCAGTGTCAACTCATAGTGACCCTGTGTCCAGTGGAACAAAATACTGCCCTGTCCTGCACCATCCTCACAATCATTATCATGTTGGAGCCCATGATTGTAGTGACCGTGTCAGTGCATCTCGTTAGGGACCTTCCTCTTTGTCACCGACCCAGTACTTTACCAAGCATGGTGTTCTCCACAAATGGTCCCTCCTGATAACATGTCCAAAGCACGTGAGATGTCATCCTCGCTTCGAAGGAACATTCTGATTGTACTTCTTCCAGACAGATCTGTTCATTGTTCTGGCAACTCCGTAATTCAAAACCATCGATTTTTCTCTGATCTTCCTTATTCATTGTCCAGCTTTCACATGCCTATGAGGAAATTGAAAATACCATGGCTTGAGTCAGGCATACCTTGGTCCTCAAGGTGACAATTTTGCTTTATAGCACTTTAAAGAGGTCTTTTGCAGCAGATTTGCCCAATACATACATTGTTTGATGTCTTGACTGCTGCTTCCATGGGTTTTGATTGCGGTTCCAAGTAATACAAAGTCTTTGACAACTTCAGTCTTTTCTCTGTTTATCATGATGTTGCTTACTGGTCCAGTTGTGAGGATTTTTGTTGTCTTTATGTTGACCTGTAACCGATACTGTAGACTGTAGTCTTGATCTTCATCAGTAAGTACTTCAAGTCTTCTTCACTTTCAGTAAGCAAGCTTGTGTCATCTGCGTATCGCAGGTTATTAATGAGACTTCCTCCAATCCTGATGCCATGTTTTTCATATAGTCCAGCTCTCAGATTATGTGCCTAGCACACAGATGGAAAAAGTATGGTGAAAGGATACAATCCTGATGCACACCTTTCCTGATTTTAAACCATGCAGTATCCCTTTGTTCTGTTTAAACAGCAGCCTCTTGGTCTATGTACAGGTTCCCCATGAGTGCAATTAAGTGTTCTGGAATTCCTGTTCTTTATAATGTTATTCATAATTTGTTATAATCTACACAGTCAAATGCCTTTGCATAGACAATAAAACACAAGTAAACATCTTTCTGGTGGTCATGGATTGAATTGTGTCCTCCAAAAATTGGTGTCAACTTGGCTAGGCTGTGATTCTCAGTATTATATAATTATCCTCCATTCTGTAATCTGATGTAATTAGCCCATGTGTTGTAAATCTCCATGATGTTAGTGAGGAAGGATTACAGGAAGTTATGTTAATGAGGCTGGATACAATCTATAGGATTATGTTGTGTCTTGAGTCCATCTCTTTTGAGATATAAAAGAGATTAAACAAGTAAGCAGAGATCAGAGAGTCCTGCTACCACCAAGAAACAAGACCCAGGAGTGGAGAGCATCCTTCAGACATGAGGTCCCTGTGTGGGAACCTCCTAGAACCGGGAGACACAGGGAGAGAAAGTCTTCCCCTAGAGCTGGCACTCTGAATTTGGACTTCTAGCCTCCTAAACTGTGACAGAATCAATTTCTGTTTGCTAAAGCCATGCCTTTGTGGTATTTCTGTTACAGCCAGGACTAGAGAGCTAAGACACTAGTATTCTCTGCTTTTAGCCAAGATCCATCTGATATCAGCAATGACGCCCCTCGTTTCACATCCTCCTCTGAATCTGGCTTGAATTTCTGTACTACTGCAACCATTTTTGAATTATTCTCCATAGAATTTTACTTGCATTTGATATTAATCATATTGTTCAGTAATTTACACATTGTGTTGGGTCACTTTCTTTGGAATGGGTACAAATATGGATGTCTTCCAACTGGTTTACCAGACAGTCAGTTGTCTTCCAAATTTCTTGGCATAGATGAGTGAGTGCTTCCAGCATTGCATTTATTTGTTAAAACATATCAGTATTCCAGTTCCTGGAGCCTTGTTTTTCCCCCAGTGTCTTCAGTGCAGCTTGGACTTCTTTCAGTCCATCAATTCTTGATCATATGCTACCTCCTGAAATGGTTGAACATCCACCAGTTCTTTTTGATACAGTGACTCTGTGTGTTCCTTCCATCATCCCTCAATGCTTCCTGCATTGTACAATATTTTGCCCATGTTGTTGTTGCTATTGTTATGTGCCATCGAGTCGGACCCAACACAGAGCGACCCCATGACTATTGTCATGAAACCCCGCTTCATTGTAATAATTTACTTTGTCTTCTTGTGCCACCTTTTGAAATTTTTTGTTCAGTTCTTTTACTTAATTATTTCTTCCTTTCACTTTAGCTACTCTGCATTCAAAAGCAAGTTTCTGAGTCTCTCCTGACATTCATTTTGGTCTTTTCTTCCATTCCTGTCTTTCTTCATGTATGATGTCCTTGATGTCATCCCACAATTCATCTGGTCTCCAGTCATTACAGTTCATTGTATCAAATCTGTTCTTGAGATGGTCTCTAAATTCAGTTAGGATATACTCAAAGTTGTACTTTGGCTCTCATGGACTTGTTTTAATTTTCTTCAACTTGAACTTGCCTATGAGCAATTGATGATCTGTTCCACAGTTGGCCCCTGGCCTTGTTCTGACCGGTGATATTGAGCTTCTCCACCGTCTCTTTCCACAGATGTAGTCTATTTGATTCCTATGTATTCCATCAAGTGAGGTCCATATGTATAGTCACTGTTTATATTGTTTAAAAGAGATATTTCCAATGAATAGGTCATTGATCTTGCAAAATTCTGTCATGTGATCTCCAGCATCATTTCTATCACCAAGGCCGTATTTTCCAACTATTAACCCTTCTTTGTTTCCAACTTTTGCATTCCAATAACCAGTAAGTATCAATGCATCTTGATTACAATTTTGACCAGTTTTGGACTGCACAAGTTGGTAAAGATTCTTCTGACTGAAAAGCAGTGGGTCTATGCATTACTTCATTTAATCTTCTTGGAGAAAGTGCTATGATTATTGGAACGTGACTGGTGCAGAAGCTGAGCCTAAAAGAGATTACCTCATTTGGAAGGTCACACAACAAATGGATGGGCCCACTAAAATTTTACAGCTTTTCAAAAAAAAAAAAAAAAAACCTCTTGCCATCATGAAACAACATGAACTCAGACATGTCACTGAGTTCATTGGCGTGCCAATGGACAGCTCTCCAGACTCTTAATCTGTGCCCTTTCTAAGGCATCATGGTCTGGTAAGTGTCTTCACAGGTGCCTTTTCCAGGGGCTTGGGGAGAAGGAACAGAGTCAGTGATCAAGGGGATATGTCAGTCCTGTCCAGTGATTTGGTGCTGATTCTGATGCATGCTGGGAGGAGAAGCAGTAGGATTGTAGTGAAGGACGCATTCTTCACTACACATTCTTCACACTTAGCTTGGGTCCAGCTCCTGCACTAACTAGCTACGTGACCTAACTTCTCTGTGCATCCAGGTCCTCATTTGTACACGGGGCTAGTAATGGGAGCTACCCAACCAAGCTGCCACACAGTAGGGACTCAATAAACATAAAAAAATAAACCTCACTGCCATCAAGTCGATTCCGACTCATGGCGACTCCCTTTGGGCTTCTGAGGCTGTAAATCTTTGTGGAATGACTTATCCACTACATCACCAAAGCGCCTTCAATAAATGTAGGCTGTTGTTTTAAGGAGCTCTGGTGGTGCAGTGGTTCTGTGCTCGGCTTCTAACTGAAAGGTCAGCAGTTCAAACCCACCAGCTGCTCCACAGGAAAAAGATGTGGCAGTCTGCTTCCATAAAAATTACAGCCTTAGAAACCCTGTGGGACAGCTCCACTCTGCTTTTAGGGTCACTATGGGTCAGAATCAACTTGACAGCAATAGGTTATTGCTATTGTTTTAATTTTTCACTATGTGGCCAGTTGCAAGATTCTCAGAATTTACAAACTCCACCTACACACACAACACACATCCAGTCCTTCTCTCTCTTTTCCTTTGCTCCCCTCCATATCTTACTTCATTTCTCAGCTTCAGAAACTCATGGCCACCCACTGACTCCTCACTCCCCACCCCCTCCATTAAACCAGCCTTCCAGGAGAAGATCTAGTATCCGTCAGATAACATAAACCACCAAGACGCCGTGCCCGGGGAGCTATGCCTGTGCAGCCTGAGTTTTGAGTGAGCAACACAGCTGCATGGGACAAGGGTTTACAGTCTGAGCTGGCAGGTGGGGGATGGTTGCAGAGGACAGGGAACTCTTCCTGAAGGGCCCAGGTAAACAGTCTCCTCTTCTCCTCCCCACTAGACACCCTGACAAGGCACCCATCAGGCTCTTGAGTCTGAGTCACCAGATAGCAGGGATGGCTTCATCCTTCTCTCAGAGCCAAACCATAAGCTCATAATATTCACCCCAGCTTGGCTTTGCAATTTTCTGTCTCTCCTTCTGGAAAGCAAGGTCTTCATGGGGAAGGAGGCCTGGGGCACTGTTATTCCTGGGAGGGGTGGAATGATAGCATTATCTCAAGCATCAGAGCAGCTCTCCCAGAGAGGGATGTGGAATGCAAAGCGTGAGGGCAGGAGGAAGGCCAGTGTGTTACCAAGAACTGCAGTCAGCCTCTGTGACAGAGAACCCCTGCCCTCTGTAGTTGAAACCCAGGTTCTCCTCCTTCTCCTCCACAGCAACCCTCCACCCACCCACCCATCCTCCACCCTCATCCCCCATCTATCTAACCTCCACCCACCTATCCGCTACCCATCCACTCATCCACCCATCCATCCACCCACCCATCCCCCATCCGTTTTCCACTCAACGATCCCCCACCCATCCCTCCATCCACCCACCCATCCTCCATCCATCTATTCTCCGCCCATCTGTCTTCCACCCACCCTTCCCTCCATCCACCCACCCATCCTCCATCCATCTATTCTACACCTATCTGTCTTCCACCCACCCTTCCCTCCATCCACCCACCCTTCCCTCCATCCACCCACCACCCATCCTCCATCCATCTATTCTATACCCATCTGTCTTCCACCCACCCATCCTCCACCCACCACCCATCCTCCATCCATCTATTCTACACCCATCCGTCTTCCACCCACCCATCCCTCCATCCACCCACCCGTCCTCCACCCACCCATCCTCCATCCATCTATTCTACACCCATCCGTCTTCCACCCACCCTTCCCTCCACCCACCCTTCTCTCCACACACCCTTCCCTCCACCCACCCACCCATTCTCCATCCATCTATTCTACATCCATCCGTCTTCCACCCACCCTTCCCTCCATCCACCCACCCATCCTCCACCCACCACCCATCCTCCATCCATCTATTCTACACCCATCC